TCAATATGAACTTTCATGAGTCGCAGCTTCCTCAGATAGATATGTAAAGGGGAAATTGCACTAGGACAGGGGTGGCCAAACTGCATGTCTTGTGGCTATCAAACATCCGACGTTTATTCGATGTGGCTCTTACATTAAGCAATTTTGGCCACCCCTGTTAACTAGGAATTTTTATGGGGGTGGCAGGGGGAGCCAAGGCAGTGTAAATTACACCTGAAAAGTCAATACACTACCAAAAGGGGGAAAAAAACTTCAAAGGGAATATATAACATGTAAGTGATGAAATAGAACTCATCGAAAGATTAAACACTACAGGTCATCTTGGCTTAAAAGAGAGACTGGATTTCCTTATCAGTACAATAACTTAGTAGATCTACACGAACCATTTTTTCAGGAATTTTAATTGGCTGTTCTTAAAATGTTCTCTCAGACTATAGTTTCAGTTAATTTTCATTTAAGCTATTTGCTTACATGTTTGAATCTCTGACCTCTCTAAGAGAACATAAGAGAAGCCATGCTGGATTAGACCAGTGGCCCATCCAGTCCAACACTCTGTGTCACGCAGTGGCCAAAAACTCTCATCATCCAAGAGATATTAATTCTGGGTACGAGCTTTCGTGTGCATGTACACACAAAAGCTTATACCCAGAATTAAACTTTGTTGGTCAGTCTTAATGGTGCCACTGGACTCAAACTATATTCTGTTGCTTCAGACCAACACGGCTACCCCACCTGAATCTCTCATCATCCAGTATGTGTAACCGTTAATTCTGTTGGATGTATAGTGGGATTCATACCTAACCTTTCTACATCAGCTCCTTGCTTTTCCCCCTTACATCGAGAATTTACACTTGGAAGACTCGTGGTGTAATTCACACCAAGCCATGGCTCCCTCTCCCCAAAGATAGTCTTCTCCGTAAGAATTCCCAGAACAAATTTCGCTTTACATATCTATCTGAAGAAGTGAGCTGTGACTCACGAAACATGGAAATAAATATGTAGTCTTTAATGCGCCACTGGATTTTTGTTTGAATTTTAAGGGCACGCATCTTGATTTTTTGAGTCTGATTTGGTTGTGACGTGTGTGTTTTTAAACAAAGAGAAAATATTAAAGATCCTCTTCTGATGACGGTTAGCATTTCTATGATGCATTCTCACAGCTCACTTCCTCTTTTGCCCTCAAAGGCTCTGATGAGGCTTTGGTGAGAACACGAATATGTTTAAGATTATTCGTAATTTGCTAAATCATTTTTAGTCAGTTGATACCCCTGGTTAATGTACAGCGTTATTAGTAGCCTTTTTACATCAGTAGCCTTTTTGAAAAAAAGTAAAATGAGCTCTATCAAGGGACTTATGTAACTCCACACTCAGCTCACCAGGAGGTTGTCTGTTGGAATAAATGGGCCCTAATTAGTAGTAATTCCAAATGAATTAAAACAGAAAAAGTTATTAAGAAGAAAGAAGCCCCTTCTTAATCCTCCCCAGTTAAAAGAGAAATCCCCATTTATCTCAGGATGAACAACAGAAAATTAAAGCGATGTTTTAACATTCGTTCTGCTTCCATTTTAAGATGCATCGAGGGCTCTGCTCGTAGAGAGCCATTTATGTTGTCGATAGCCATTGCACGCGGCTGCATAGTATCCAAAGACGAAAAGAGTTTGTGCTAAAATTTTGTGTATACAAGCTGCAGTGATACAGAGACACAGGGCCAAGCCACTTGGTACACCTGATAAGCATCAGGTTACGGATGCGTGGTCGGAGGAGTCAGACCTACATCAGGGGAGGTAAAGGTTCCCTTTCTCGAAAGCCAGTCAAATCCGACTCTAGGATTGCGGTGCTCATCTCCGTTTCGAAGCCGAAGAGCCAGCGCTGTCCGAAGACGTTTCCGTGGTCATGTGGCCGGCATGACTAAACACCAAGGCGCACGGAACGCTGTTACCTTCCCACCAAAGTGGTCCCTATTTATCTACTTGCAATTTCTTGCTTTCGAACTGCTAGGTTGGCAGGAGCTGGAACTAGAGACGGGAGCTCACTCC